GAATCCACATTTCCCCGTTTGGTTAGCTCGGGAATCTCATTTTCGGTAATGTAAGATTACCAATAATATATTTTTTGGGGTATATTACCGGGAATGTCATTACATCCCTATCCTTAGGTATTGTTGGATTACCGGCGTTTTGGACTAAAATGCCCTTAATTTTTTTTCTTTCAAAAATATCATTCTTCTGTCATTGAAAAATAAAAATTCTACGAAGGTTAAATTACAAATTTATCCTTAAACTATTTTAGATTTATAAAAAAAATCTATAATTAAAATTTTATATGAAGTTCAGGTGTTAAAATAAAATTTTACCCTTTCATTAAACTTTTTTATATTTTCAATTTTGTAAAAAAATTATATAAATTTTATGAATTTAAATTTTTTAAAGAAAATATATAAATATTTTTCAACTTGTTAAAAAAATAAATATATAATAAGAATAATTTGGTTAAATATACATTTCAATAATCTTTTATTCCTTTAACCAAACATAATAATCTTACATTCCTGCTAAGCCAACTAAACACAAAATGCAACATTCTCAGTAATCTTATTCTCTGGTAATCTTACATTCCGTGAACCAAACACACCCTTAATGGTAATATTATATATTTAGTATTTTGTTTGAATTAGGAAAGGGTAATAAGGTCAAAACTGGAGGTGGGTGAGGGTGAGAGAATAAAGGGGAAAGAGGGGACCTACCTGCCTCTAAAACGACGGGCACCCACGTCGGATAGAGGGTAAGTGACAAAATTGCCACCTTCAAAGGGGAGCCCCATTTCAAGATTTTCCGAATCTTGTTTGTCTCACTATTCCAGATTAGATCGAATTCAGATTAAGACAGTAAATATGAGTGAAACGTCTGATAAAATATTTTTAGGAAGACATCATCTCATCCATCTCTTCCTCTTTAAAAGACAATTATACTCCTCGTAACACTTTCAAACTCGTTTTATCGATTTATTTTAGAAATCAAATAAATTATTGATAAAACTCGAATTTTATTATATTATTGTTTCAATAGTTGCACGATTCCACATCAAATTCTTTTTATAAATAAATGATGAAATTCCATCATTTGCAACTTTTTTGGCGAGCCATAGACTATTATATTCTATTTAAGTAATTATATCATTTGGTATGCAATGATGAAATTTTATTCTTTATGTCGATAATATTAATTTTATAATCAATGGCATCGTACATAAATGTGCAATGATCCCCAAGCACCCATGTAATCAACTAATTATTATATTATTGAGAGAAGGTAATTAAAAAAAAAGACAGTGGCAGAACTGAAATAATGATGAAAAATGAGGTTATTTGAGGGGAAAGAGGGGAGTAACGGCGGGACAGTTGAGATTTAATGAAACGGGGATCCTAAAAATTGACAAATGAATAAGACTGCCTGATTCCGTAGGAGGAAGGGAAACCCCTTTTCCCTCAATTTCATGGAATTGTAAAAATAAAATAAAATATAATTATTTGTTCAAACAGTAAAATACTTGATATCACTTAAGTAAGGTATCAAGTTTGAGTCATTGTATATACAAAAATTCATGTTCAGAAACTTACTCATCAAAATCAGGTGTACAATATAAGTTGGCCTGAATTAGTGAATACGAAACTTTAAAACATGAAGAAAAAAATTATTTATTTATTATTATTATTACTGACAAGAGAATGAAAAAAGGTTGTCAAGCTTAAATTCAAAATTTAATGTTTATTAAGATTAAAGTGTGTAAACTGAGATTAAGAGTCAAAGGAGTTTGCGTGTGGGTGTTGAGGAGGATTTTAAGGAGTAACACAGAAACGTCAAAGGCTGCAATTATTATGTTTTTCTAGTAAAATACGTTGTTCACCGGAAAATCTCTCTTTTTCCTGTATTCTTTTATTTTTAAAAAAATCATAGGGCAAAATGTCTCTTTGTGCTCTCATTATTTTAATCTCTCTCTATAAATAAATTAATCCCTCTTTTAATGGCTAAAACATGCACCAAGTCACTTAATCATTAGTTCTGTTACAAAGTTATCTTTAGGTTATAATATAATAATTAAATTAAGATATTATTATAAACATGCCATTCTGTCGTTAAAACCAAAACATACATTAACGTGTCTTGCCATTATAATAATTTCAATCTCTGAAACTCATATATTCTATTAATCTAATAATAATTCAAAGTAATTCAATAAATTAAATCTTTATATTTAAAAATTTCATCAATTTAATTTTTTTTATGATACTATTGAACTAAATTAGTCTATCATATCAAAATTATAGTTTGATAGTTGCATTCTATAAAGAAACAACGAGTTACTATTAAACTATTATTATATCAATAAAGTAACACGAAAGTAATAAAATATTTATGAGAGAAGAATAAACAATTTAAGAGAAAAATAAATACTAAAATGATAGGAATTTTAAATATTCGACGTTATATTTATTGAATTATTTTGAATTAAGACTAAGTTGATATGATGTATAAGTTTCAAGAACTAAAATCATTATTATACGAGGCCACATCACTATTTTGTCCAATATTTAACGGTCAATGAAATGTTCGCAATAATATTTTAGTTAAGTGACTACATTGTAACTTTTAAGAAAAAAAATGACCAGTTTATAATCTATCTAATAATCGAGTCACATGGAGTATATTTTCCCTCTTTTTAAATAACCAAAAAATTTATGATCCTTTAGTTTGACAATAGGGTTTGTTTTTTCCTATAATTTTTTCCCTTTTATTATTTGTTCAATCCTGGCTTAACCTTTATGGGATTGCCCTCCTTTTAAGCATTTGATTCCCGTTCTGTTATAGCAAATATAAATATAAGAAAATCCTATGTATTGGATTACACATAGGCATAGCTTCTTTCATCTCACATACGGAGAGAGATAACATAGTTTTAAAGAAGTTGCCTTTTAGCTCACATGGTCCTTTCTCCTACTATTATTCATAAAACAATTAAAATTTGGGTCAAATTCTTTTATCAGTCCTTGTATTATATTTAAATTATAGATCTAATCTTTATAGTTATATTACAATTTGGTAATTTTTAGTATCTATATTTTTAAAATTTTGAAAGTTCAGTATTAATTCATGAATTTGACCTAAAAAGTGTATTAAGGAAGGGAGAACCTTCCCATGCAATTTTAAAAAAAAGGCTAGCGAGGTAAAGAAGAAAGGAATAAATACTGGGTTGTTGCCTTCAAGTCATGAGGATCAATTGAATAAAGAGAGAAGACAACATTTCACAAATGTGCTTTTTTAACATGATGGCTTTAATAAATACCCTTTATGTCAATCATTTATGTATAATGGCATTTCTTTTGTGTAGCCATCATTTGGCATTAGCCTATAAAGAGAAAAAGAAAAAGGTGGTGCTCTCTTTTATCTCTCTCTTTGGTTTTTGATAAAATAAGAACTCATTCCATGAATCTGAATCCCCTAAATCTATATGAATCAATTCCCCTATGTAAAGCACTTTTGTTACATGTATACATATAAAATGGTGGACCATGGTAGGAAGGAAGGAAGAAAGCCGCTCCTATACCTTTTTAAATCATATAAATTATATTTAAATAATATTTGATTGTTAGATAAAGTTATTAATATTTGTCACTTATATATTGTATGTATAAATTCTATTAGACGTATCAAATTATATAAAAACTTTAATTTAAAAAATTATAATAAAACCTATAGTGGTAAAAGAAAATATTGTTCTTTCTTAAGGAGTCGTATTTAAAAAGTTGCGTATGTAGAGTATGTATGTTATTAATAGGTTAAGAAAATTTTTAACATATATTACATTGTAAATCATCCCGAACTATTAAGAATAATTACAGGGACACAATACCTGTAAAACAATTCACTTGTGACAGAATGTATACATAAACATGTCCCATTTTGAAAATATATATATATATATATGGGTTAGGATCCAATTACACCTAGTGTAAATTTTTTAGTTTTACATCTTTTTAGGATCGTTGGATGAGAGGAAATTAAAGGCTGAAATTAATTTATTGTTTATATATATATAAAAGGGTTGGATAGGCATCTGTGAAACGTGATTGAAGGGGGATTGAGACAAGTTGGGAGTGTTAAGTCTTAACATTTCCAACTTTACTACGTAAGTAATTGAAATAGACCGATGATGGTAATGTTTGTGAATTAGGGTTCCATCCAATTGCGTGCCTGTCGGGTGCAACCCAGCAACTTGCCATCCCAATGGGAAGGCGGACAACTTTTGGAGTATTATCTTCGCCTATCACTCAATTTATTTTTGTCTATATATGTTTGAATTTTCATTTTCATCTCAACACAACAGGCTTTAGATTGTATGAATAAATTTATTAAAATTTCATCATCTAAATTTGAATTATTAATTTAACATTTGATAATCAATTAAATATTCCCAAAGTTTGAGCATTTTTTAATACAAGAGTCTAATTAGATGAAAAAAAGTAATTGAATTGAGAAGTTTTGACCTCCTTAAGCTTATATTTTATAATAATTATTAAATAAGATATATATGCACTAAGATTTTTTTTTAATTTACTTTCCTGTGTTGTTGGTAAGAACAGAACTGGAGCTTTTATTGGGCTGAGAGCGTTTATGCTGCTATTCATCTAACAGCCCAAGAATTTTATTAAGCTAAATGCCCAAAGCAGGCGAGATGTATTGGTCATTTCCTACAATCAAAACTATATTAGTAGAAAAGGAAATCAGATTTAAAGAGATGGGGGAAACAAACCCAAAAATATTCAGAGATAGTGGTCGATGGTTGAGGTTCTTCATGTAAATATGCATTGGCTCTTGCGATCTTTCTTCATGGTGTCCCTTGGAATCATCATGCCAATTGCTTAATGCATGAAGCTCCTGTAAACCTTAATTGAATAAATGGTTTGGGTTTGCATGTGCATAATTCTCTTGGATTCGTTCAAGTAGGTAGGTCATGCCAACTTTAATCTTAGTGCCCTTCCAGATTATGAACCTTGAATATATCGATAATGTCCCTTTCATCTCCTTGGATCGATCATCAAAAGCAAGAGAAATTCCATGAATCAATGTTCTACAAAATAAATATAAGTTAGAACATGGAACACTATTAATAAAATAAATGAACATATAAAATTCATGAAAGTTCGTGAATGGAATTTGGCCCTTGACATTCTCAAGAATCATATTCATTGAAACTTCCCTTTTATGAGGTTCTTCGAATGGATGGAGTATACTTGGAATGTTAATATAAACACGTCCCTTTGAATTTCAAGAGATACAACCATTGACACTTCAAGTGTCACTCCTTTTAGAACTTCAATGGACATGCTTTCTGAATCATCATTTTATAAGGGTATGACTCTTGGAATATACTGTAAAACAAGAGGATGAGAAGGAAGAACAGATTGGTTACTGGAAAACAAATTTTCCAACTATTCACTTTCCTTTGTCTCACTTTCATGCTTCTTTTGAACTATCTCTTCAATACCACACTTCTGCTTTTCAATGTGCTCATTTTCACTCTCAATTCTCTTTTTAATGCTCTCAATGTCTTTTTCAACTCTCGTTTCTTTTTCTTTTTTGCAATCACTTTCTTTTTGTAGTTGTTATTGCAATTGTGTTTCTTTAACAAAATTATCAAAACACACTTGAAGATGAGCTAGACTTTCGGGATTGAAATATGCAAAATTCCTTGGCTCACTTAGCGTTGAACTTTTGATATTTCTTCTTGTTAGAAAGTTGGGGTCCTCCTTGAATGATCTTCTGCTACAATTCGGTGTAGAACTAGAAAATGAACGAGTGTCGTATCTCTTTTTTAGTTGTGTTTTGATCTTCGTTGGACATGTTTGTGAACAAGAAGGTCATTCTATCATTCACTCCAATTTCGTTGAGATTGGGTCGAGATGCTTTTGAAACAAACTCCTTATCTCTCGTGTCATGGATTGCATTTGCAAGTTTGGTGCACCACCATCATTTTGGACGTCACCTCCTGAAATATGAGAATTATATCTAGATGTGCGAGACATGATTAGCAATAAAAAATGAAAGATAGACCTCACCAACACAAAACCTGACCAATACACTCCAAAGAAAAGTCTCTTCTCTCGTGTTTCACTTGGGATGGCTTTTACCCTTAATGCACACCCTTTTCTTTTACCGCTCTTACTTTCTTTTAATGTTCTTGTGGAACTCCCTCAAGGTTTACAAGGTGTCTCGTAGACTTCAGCTGAAACTATTGGGGCTTGGTTGGAAAAATGATGGGTGTAAAAAAAATTGGCTACAAGAAAGAATGAAGATGATATTAGGTAATAAAATCGTAAAGATAATAAAAAAAACGATAAAACGAATACGAAACCTTCTTAATAATTTTCTTCAAAGATGAAAACAATTGCTCCCGCCTCTTTAAATATTTCTTCTTTTTTCTTTTTCTCGATCTTTTCAACTTTTTTTTAATTTTGTACTAACACGAGAGAGAGAAAATGAAATGATAAGCTTACTGAATCAGCTAGCTCTGATACCAAATGATATGATCTCGATTATATGTCCCAATTCATATACGATATTGCCCGATCGTGATTCTAGTTCGAATTTTGTACAATAGAATTATTACTATTTTTATATATTTCATTAACAAAACATATGACATATGTTTTAATTTATGATTGTATTAGTTGAATCAAGTTGATAGGATAAGTGATATATGAATCATTTAACACACTTCTTGTCCGTATAAAATGTATACTCTCAGCCGGGTTAAATGGGTAAAAGAAAACATAACTATTTCTGTCTTCACATGGTGCTACATTTGGGATACATGCTTTAGTTCAACCCTTAATTAATTTACTACAAGTTCCTCTCACTTCTGTAAATCCTTAAAAAAATCATTAATTAAAAATTAGTTAATTTTCAATTTTAGTTGTGGAATAAATAAAACACAGCACAGGCTCTGAGAGGAATTAAGGGAGCATTAGGAAACCATTTAGAAAACCTCCAGACCCAACCCATCGAATCCACCTCCCAAAACTTCCTTGCCAATTTGAAACAATGAAACCCACCACCTGGCTTCTCAAACCCAGCTCCAAGCATCCAGAAAGCCAGAAGAAAACAACGCGAACAGTCGAAAACGAGCATAACAATCAGCCGAAAGACGAGCAAAAACGAATTAACCCTGCAGCCACACGACCAGGTCCAAAAGCGGAACCAGCTTATGCGCATAAAGTTGAACCTGCAACCATTACTCAACACGGAGGCGAGCTCGATCTCCACATCAGACTTAATCTCATTAAATACGAAAGGAAGATGGTAACAACACAGATTCAGCAAAAATGAAAGCTTCATAAATTTACTCAATATGCATAGGCTCAACACATATCGAAACCATCAAAAAGCAGGATAATTACATATCGCTTCCACCTGCAACTTTCCAGAGAGGGGCGTTGGGTACTTGGTGGTCCAAGACAAAATGATGCACAACACCACTTTGAAACAGAGCTACTAATCTAATCTAAACACATGTTAAAAATGTTGCATCACAGACAACTACTAATCTAAAACAAATGACCTCTAGATTCAAGCCTTGGTTCTTTAATATCCCGACTTCAAACCACAATAAAAGCAGGAAGAAGAATGCAGAAATAAAACAGACCAAGACACCAACTGCAACTGAAGGCATCTACCAGTACGAAAAATGCAGACTGACACAGGAAAGAAAACCATATCAACCCAAATGCATCTTTCAATAAGACCACATGAAGCTATCCGTTACCTGCTATCAAACAAGGACTTTGAAAATTACATTGAAAAATTCTTTTTACTTTTAAATTGCTTTTTCAGTTTTTTTTGGCTACTTTCGAATCATTCTACTTGCACAATCAAACTCTAGTAAATTGTATAAATCAAATTAACTTTCTATCTTGCATGTAAAATCATACAGTAAGACAACAAATATTAACATACATTTTCGATTAGTGAAAGCATGTTCATTTTGGGTACAAAAGTGGGTCTAAATTTCAAGCTCAGTTCGGGACCATAAAAAAATCATCAAATTACTTGTGACTTTCATTGTATACTTAAACAATTTAATTCTCAAATATACAATCGTCAAATTTTTTACACCCAAATGAGAGAGATGGAACCTAATTAGTAATGTTCTTCTAAAAAAACTAAGAATAAATTGATCGACTGCATTATTATTATTTTCTCTATTTTAGTAAGAAAATATGAGACATACACTTCAATTTATGACTCAATTAATTGAATCAAGCTGATAGGATGAGTGATCAATGAATCATTTAACATACGCCTTGTCCATATGAAATGTATACTCTCGATCGGATTAAATGCGTAAAAAAAACATACTTATTTCTATCACTGCATGGTGCTACATTTGGGAGGCATCCTTTAGTCCAACTGTCAATTAATTTATTTACAACAAGTTCCTTTGACCTCTGTGAATCCTGAAGAAAATCATCAGTTAAGAAATCAGTAAATTTTCAATTTTAGTTTTGCAAGGTCAAAGATTTGAGCCAAAATATAGAATAATACTCACCATAGGATGCAGGCGATGTATAAACATCTTTGAAAATTTGATATAGATTTACGAGAACAAATTTTAATTCCGGAAGTGTCGATTGCAAATCCCTCAATAGATTAGAAAGACGCTTGCCTATCATTAGCTTCTTCCTAACATTCACCATCATAAATTCGATTTGGTTCGCATCCTATTGGCGCTAAATTATTGATCACCGTGCACCGAGTTGATATAATGTCCAGATATAAAAAATAATAAACAATGAGTTATTTAACAAAGACTTTGACAAGTACTTTGAAAAACTCTCTTTGTTTTCAAATTGTCTTCTCAATATTCTTGATGTCTTTTCAAACCATTTTATTTGCCCAATCAAGCTCCGATGAAATTGTATAAATCAAATTAACTTTATATATTGCGTGTAAAAGGATCATGTTTGATCATAGTACAAAATAATCTGAAAAATAGATTAACGTACATAAAAGACGAATAATATGTGCTAAACTCAGAGGTGAAATAAAGTTTCCTGTATCAACAAAAAAGTCGCCAAACACATATAAAGCTGGTCAATCAATTTCGATGTTTTCTAATTGAAATTTGAAAAATGTAAACTTTTTGATGTAATTTATAAAAATTATAGGCCATCATTGTAATTTATGGGAAGCATTTTTTATTGTAATTTATAAATAGTTTTGATATTTATTGTAATTTATAAAAAGTTTTGGTGTTTATTGTAATTTATAAAAAGTTTTGGTATTTATTATATTTTCAGAAAGTTTTGGTATTTATTGTAATTTATAGATAGTTTTGATCTTTATTGTAATTTATAAAAAGTTTTGGCCCTTATTTTAATATTTAAAAGAATTAGACTTTTATTGTAATTTATATAAATACTTAAAATTTTATTATAATATAATAATTTTTATTTAAGTATTTTTTGTTTTAGAACTTTAAATAAAAAATTGTAACGATATTTTTTTTATCATTTATGCATTAAATTTTAATATTATTAGTGATCATATAAATAATTCATGATAAAATTTTAATTTATTTTGTGACACAATTAAATGTCATTGAATATAAATAATAAGATGATATTATACATAAATGTCACTATATGTTTAACAATACATGACGATAAAAAGATATAACGTCACACTAGACATTTAGTGATACACCTAAGATAATGATTATTATAACGTCAAATTTTATGTCACAAAACATAAAAAGTAACGCAAATATAAATTTCAATGATAATATTTCTAACGTTAAAAATAAATAAATTTATTGTAGTGCTTCTAGATCCAGCTTGTTTTCTGTTGGCCGAAAATAATAAAAAAATTACCTTGTTTTCTGGCGGAGTTACGGCTGTAAGTTTTGTCCTTTATATGTGAATGTTAGTGACAACTACCTTTTTCGGTTCTTTATCTTGTTATTTAAATAGGGTTTTCGGTACTTTTTGGTAGTC